TGTTTCCAAGTCAACATGGCACGAATGAGTGCTGCCGCGCTGCCCCCTGGTGGAGAGGGTGGAAACTGAGGGCCCGCCGCCTCACTTTGCTAAGGAGCTGCACAAAGGCCCCTGCCTCTCTCCCGGGTTGCTAAGCCCGCGGGCTCCGAGGTCCAGGGATGGAAGCGCGTTTGCGCGCAGCGCGGGTGCAGAGGCGATCTCGTCCGCAGTCGCCTGCCGTCCGAGGCGGCCAGTGGCCCTCACCTCGTATTCTGATGGGACAAAGCCGGTCCACTCCCCGTTGGCCTGCAGTGGGCATGTTTTGTGTGCTGCTTTTGACTTCCCTCCTCCCACGCCACGCGGAGGCTTTGAGAAGCCCCCTGGGAGGTCCCCAGGACTCTGGGTCAAGGCGAAGGAAGGTCTCAGTGTTTGCAAACATACCCTTGGTTCAAGAGCCTTCGGGGGTGTTAGGGTGGGGGCGCCCCCTCTGTTTCTGCTCAGTTCTCACGGGCCCCAGAGCCCTGGCCCGGGGTTTCAGGAGGCTTCCGCATGTCCCTGGGGTTGGGGGGCTGTGTCGCCAGCCTGGGGGGCAGGTACGGGGGTACACGGCATCGTCCAGGGTCCGGCACGCAGAGGACGACGGGGCAGGGGTGGGCGAGACGGGAGGCAGCCGTGGGAGGTCATGGGTGTCGATACCGAGAAGAAGGTGGAGGCTCCGTCGGCCCAGTTCTTGGTTTTGACTTTGACCGACAGAGCAGGGAGGCCTATCGTCCAGCCGCGCCGGGCAACGGCGTGGACAGCTGGTTCTGGGCAACTAGTCCAGAACTGCGAGTGGGGTGAATCCAGACGAATCCCGTGTGGCCTGGGGGCACGGCCGCAGGTGGGACCCCGCTTCCCTGACATTCCCGGGCGGGCCCCCACGCCCGCAGCCAGCATGGCCGAAACGCTGGCCTCTGACCTTCTTCCCTTGTCCGTGACCTTGGTCCTCAATGACCCGCCCGGGCCCGCTCTCTCCCTGTTCCTCTAGGGAAGCTGGACCCGCCCCGTCTCTGGCACCATGAACCATCAGCTTTCGTTTTTTCACTAAGTTCTCTCTCATATGTCATATTCGGCTTTCGTCACCCCCCCCCCCCCCCCGGCTCCAGCTCCTCCAACCCCCCTCCCCGCCCTCCTCCAGCACCGGCCACATCGCCATGGCAGTGGCGGCCGTTTTCTTGAGGGTTCGCCGTGCGCCAAGCGCTGGGTGAGGCGGTCGCCCTGCCGTCCGGTCAGTCCTTCCTGGGCCCTGTAAGGACGCTCTGCCGCGGTTCCCCGTGCGCCGATGAGGGAACACGGGCCCCCTTCGCCTGGCCAGGGACGCGCGGCTCGGTGCTGGAGCGGGGACCTGGCTCTCTAGTCCCCGGATTGCACGCTGCTGCCTCCTGCCCTGCTATTTCTGTGACTCCCTGTCTCTCTGGCTGAGCTTTCTGGGTCTTCTGCGTGGACTGGGAACAGTGACCCACTGTGTCCCCTGGTGGATGGGGGCCCAGCACGGGCTGCCCCGTTTCCTGACCTGTTGGGCGGTAGAGGAGACCCCCGTGTGGGGGTGTGCGGGGCAGAGCGTCTCCCAGACACAGAGGACAGTCCTTTCTCAGGGGTCCCTTCAGGTACTTGGGGGCCCAGCTGCTGGGAGGGCGGACGGACCGGCTTGGCTCCTGCCTGCCCCCTGCACGTGGCCGGAGAGTCTCGGGACCTCCTGCAAAGCGGGGGCCGGTCCCGGAACCCTCTCGGGAGCTGAGGCAGCCGTCCCAGCTGCTGGATCTTTCTGTTTCTCCGAGAAAGCAGTGCCAGGCAGGGCAGGAGGGAGAGGGAAGGAAGCTGCTGCTAGCAGCCCCATGGACGCCCCGTCCTGCACAGGACCGAGCTTACGCGGAACGAGCTCCTCTTCGAGGTCAGACGGGCTCCATCGACTCTCGCCCCACAGAGCTGGGGAGGCAGCCGGCGCAGAAACGCCACGTTCCCGGCACCCTGTGTGCATTCGGTGAAGATCGAGTCCCTTTTCCATCTTCCACAAGCCTCTTTCCCATCGAGGTCAAATAACGTGAGGGCTGACCCATGTTGGAATGACAAGGGCCCCAACGTTCAGGACGATGGAGTGGCTTCTCCAGGACCGCACATGGGCAGCGATACCCAGGGGTCCGCACGGCATCTCCCAGGCGCCCGCTGCGTTCCTGCAGCTCAGGGGGAGCGGCGGTCCCCACGGTCTGGGCCCCCGCCTTGGGCACCCTCGCCGGGCCCCCGAGGACTCCCTCAGGGGTCGGGTCCGGCTCTGCCCTGAGACAGCCTGTCTCCCTAGCGCAGAGCAGGGTCCCAAACCTGTGTGAAAAGTTCAAAGCACAAACATGGAGCGCGTTAAGCAATCAGCCAGCCTGGGAGTTTCAAAGATGCTTAGGAGCAGACGGCTTTCTTCAAATGAAGCCTTTTCTAGAAATCACTCACTCACTCACTGAATAAGTTCTTTTTGGAAACATATTTTCAAAAAGGAGAGAGGCATATGGCGGGGGTGGGCAGTGGATTTAGCTGGTATGTGCTGTGTGTGTGTGTGTGTGTGTGTGTGTGTGTTTGCACAGCCGCCCCTTGGCCTTCGCTCTGTTGTGTTTATAGAGCCGTATCTGGGGAGAACACGGTTCTGGAAAGATTCCGTTCGGAGAGTTCCACAGCAGGGCTGTGTCCAGCCAAAATGCTGCCTGGGGACCTGGCGCTGGCGGAGTGAGCGTCTCTGGGTGAAAGGGGTGGGGGGAGGGGACCCAGGGAGGGGACAGTCATCTGTCCGGGCTCTCAGCTCTTGGTGTCGCTCTGGTGGGCGGCACCTGCTGCTGGTCGGCCCTGGGGGGGCGTTGGCCCCTGCGGGGAGGGCGCACTTGTCTGAGGGGCGCGCCCCGCCCGGCCCCCCCAGGAGCCCGCCCCTCGCCCCTCCGTCCCTGTCCCACTCAGCACCTTGCTCCTCCCTGGGGGACGTCGGCAGGTCTGACGCCAGTGAGGAGGATGTGTGCTCTCAGCATAGAGCGAGCTCAGGGACCTCTTACACCCAGAGAGCCAACTTTGGGGCCATAACTAACTAACTAACTAACCCAATCTCACCCACAAAAGCCAGAAGACAGAGGCGGGGGCCAATAAAAATGACGAAAAATCAGCCTTAGGGGCCATGAGGTTCTGGTCGAATCCTCAGGAGGCCAGGCTCGCGGGCATCGGGCATCGCTGCGGCCGCTCACGAGGGAGCCTGCTGGGGCTGCGGGGGGGCCGGCCATGGGCTGCGAGTCCCGCTGACCATGAGGCGGTGGGGCGCCGGCCAGCGGGGGCGCCCCCCGGAGCGGGGAGTTGGGTGTCCCTGTGTCTCAGAGCTCAGGCCGCGCTGGGGGAGACGGGAGCAGATCCAGGTGGGATTTCCACCAGCCCGGCCTCCCCTGCCGGCTGCAGGGGCGGGAAAGGGCAGAGGGGGCGGGGAGGGAAGGCAGAGAGAGGGGAGAGCGCAGCCTCGGTGGGGGAGGGGTGCCTCCTGCACACGGGAGCCCACGGGTCCGTCCGGGGTGCGTGTGCTCCCGCAACCTGCCATCTCGCCCCTTGTACAGGAGGGGGGACCAGCGTGAAGAGGAGAGGGGTTTTGAAGAATGGATGTTGGCCGGGGTGGGGGGGGCAGGGTGAGCGTTGTCAGGGGAGCCTAGAGGGGCTGGATGTTTCGGGGAACCTCGCCTCACCTCCCTGGGGCTGCCGCGCACCCGGTGAGGGAGAACCGACGGTCAGCGGGGGACAGGACCATGGAGATCACGTCCAGGGTTTGGGAAGAGACGGGCTGTGTTTTCATTGTGACCTGGGCGTTTTTGGTTTTGTTTTTTAATTTAATCTTTATTGTATTTTTTTCCATTACCATTCAGTCCCCTTACGCCCCCTCCCCCGAGCAGTCCCCACCCTGTTGTCCGTGTCCAGGAGCCCTTTTCCCTTTTTGCTCCATCTCTCCATCCCCTCAACAAACCCTCTGCCTGTCTGAGCCTCCGAGGAAACAACGTGGGGGGCGTGGCGTCGGCAGCGGGGGGGGGGGTGCCCCCGCCGCCCAGACAGCTGTGTACACGCCCGGCACACGGGCCGGCGGCGCGCACCCTCCGCCTTGAGTCGCTCAGGGTCAGCGAGGTACCGAAGGCAGGGCAGACGGAGGGCCGCTGGTCCCCACCCAGAGGGCGCAGAGGGAGAGAGCGGAGAGGAAGGGCTGCCCCTCCGTCCCGGTCCGTGTCCCCACCGGCCGTGGCGCGTCCAGGATTGGAGCCCACGCAACTCCCGCCGCTCCCTCCAGCCGCTCCCGAGCCGCGCGGACCCTCCCTTCTCCAGCGGGGTGGATTTCTGGGGTGAGGTCCGCGTGGAGGAGGAGGAGGCGCAAGAAGAGGCGATTCTCAGGGTGGACGTTACCACGCGCAGATGCGACCACCTGCGGTGCGGACGCCCAGCGCTCGGAGGGGACGCGGAGGAGGGCCTGGGACAAAGGAGGAGGGGACGGTTTCGGAGGGGCATCGACTGGTTTGCTCAGGTGGGCAAACAGTGTCAGAGGGGCGGGCTTTCTGCCTGGCGCAGGGGGCGGGGACTGACGAGCCCGGAGCATCAAAACACATTTCTTTGTTTGGAAACAGAGATGTGGGCGCTCTAATGAATGTCCAGAGATATTTCTAGAGGACATTATCTCTGTGTTTATGCCATGTGCTTTGACAAAGGGAATTTGTCAAGGAAGCAGGAGCGGGTCTCTCCTGGGTGCCCCTGGAGCGTGACAAGGGCACGCGTTCCTCTGCGGGACCTACTGTGCGTCGGCCCCTCCGCGGGGCTCTGCCGCGCTCGTTGCTCCTGCCTCCTCGGGGCACTTCGTCTGCATTTACAGAGCTTCCCTTGCCACGCGTCCGCGGCCTGGGCCCTGGTGTTCCTTCTGCTCTTGGCTTGAGGGGAGACCTGGGCCCCAGTGGGACCTCTGTCACAGATCCTTCCTGCTTTGTCCCCACCCCCAGGCTGTTTGCTGTCAAATGTGGGGGCTGCTTCGAGGCCATCGCCCCAAACGAGTTTGTAATGCGGGCCCAGAAGAGCGTGTACCACCTGGGCTGCTTCTGCTGCTGCGTGTGTGAGCGGCAGCTCCAGAAGGGAGACGAGTTTGTTCTGAAGGAGGGCCAGCTGCTCTGCAAAGGGGACTACGAGAAGGAGCGGGAGCTGCTCAGCCTGGTGAGCCCGGCGGCGTCTGACTCGGGTGAGTGCTGCGTGGTGCGCGGGGATGCGGGGGGCAGGGCGGGCCGTGCAGGGGGGTGGTCGCAGGGCCCTGTCCCAGGAGGGCCAGGCACCAGGGCCATCTGGCGCCACGGACGGCAGCTCTGTGCTTTCCGGGAACTCCTTTTGTAAGGTGGGAGTGATCTTGTATCAGTCAGCATGGCCACGATGTGCTGCGTAACAAATGACCCCGGATGCCATGCGTCGACGCTTGGTCACACACAGCCTCGGGGTTGGTGGGAGTGACTCCTCCTCAGGCTGACGGTCTCCCGTCCCCTGCGGGCTGGTGGGCTCAGCCCCAGGCTGCGGCCCCAGCTCACGTCCGCTCCACAGGCATCCCTCCGGGGTCTGGGCTGGGCTCTTTCCCTGGGAGCAGCCTGTGCTCAGAAGGCATGCCCAGCCCCGCAAACTCATGTCAAGCCTCCGCTCCTTCCGCGTCTGCTGAAGCAACACCAAACTTCGAACCTGCAGTCCAGAGGAGGGAAGCTCCCTGGGGGTCCTGCCTGCCCCTCAGGTGGATGCGGGACGCTCTTCAAGGGAGGGGTGAGGGTGGCGGCGGTCAGTCTGCCCCGTCGCTGACCACTCATCCTCGTTTTCTCATCTAAACTGAGCTCCACTTGGCGTAAGAGGGCCAGCCCCGTCTTTCCCTGTGGACGTCCCGCTGAGCCCCGCACTAGGGATATTCCAGAGCCTGAACATCCCTCAGGTGCTCAGATGCTGGGCGATCAGCACAGCTGCGGACAGTCCTGCCCGCCTGGGGAGACTCTGTCCTTTCTCACGTGGAGACAAAGGCTGAGGTCCCGTCTTTCCTGGCACACAGGCGTGCGGGGCTTGCTCACTCAGCGATCCGGTTGCGGATTGTAATTGGACCCACTATGGGGCCTCTGTGTATTGCCACCTCCCTGCCCTCCGTGCGCAAGGACAAAAGGAAGAGGTTGGGTCCAAGGGGCGTTAAGAGAGGCAGGATTTTCAGGGGATGGGGGCCGCAACAGGCCCCGCCCTGCCCGCCTCTTCAGCCGTGCGGTCAGCCCTGCGCGTCCTTTTGAGGCTGACGCCGACACGCGGGAGCTTCCTGGTCCCCTCATCCGTATATTCATTCAGCAGCCACATTGGAGGGCTTGCTCCAGGCCAGGGACGGGGTCGTGATGAGTGACAAGAACGGTGTGGGGACAGGGAGCTGCCACGAGAACGTCCGATGAAGTGATTATAGATCGTCAGGCTAGGGGAGTGAGGACTGACCGAGGGCCTCGTTGTTGCCTTCCGGTGGTGGGGCCAGACCTACTTTTCCCGTCCAGCTGCAGAAAGCAGAAGTAGACTCTGCTTATTCCATTGTTTCACAAAACCGCCGGGCGCTCACCCTGGAGGCAGGAGGGGAGAGGAGGCAGCCTGGCTCCACGGGGGCGGCAGAAAGCCGTTCGGCTGATTGGAGCAGGGCCCCTCGGAGGCTGGACCCCTTGTTGACACTAGTGCCGGCGAGGTGGGAGGGGCGGACGGTTCTAGAAGACACCGACGGCCCTGTCAACTCTGCATGTATCATGGTCTCTGCAGCTTTAAGTGGGGTGACGTTAAAGTCTCCACCAGAATATTGTTGATATTCTATAAATCTCACCGGTCTCGCGTCATAAAACGCGTTGTGCACCAGAGCCCCCCAAGCCCCCCCGACAACCCCCGTGGGCCAGCTGCTAGAAAACGAGGCTGTAGCTGTTCGTACCTCTGTCCCCTTAACGAAGCTCAGCGTGACGCAGGAAGGGAGGGCCGGGTCCGCGAGGACCGATGGGGCTGAGCGAATCTCCCGGGAAAGACGGCCGCCTGGCCGCAGGCCTCCCAGGGGGCGCCCTGTGTGGGGCGCTGTCCCCGTGCAAGTACAACGTCCCCTCTTGCGCGCGGCCTGGGCGCTTCGCCTGTTGGCGGCTCTTGACAGGTGTTTGTGGAGTGAATGACTGAGCGGCCTGTCCTCGTCAATGTATTCAGTGACTTGGATGAAGACGCAGAAGGTAGGTGGCTTTGGTGTGTCGGTGACAGGGGACACGGGGGGGCAGCGGGGTCACCCCCTGCTCACAGAGAGCTTGACAGCCTGCCAGCGTCCGCAGGAGGGAATCTAAGTGCTGGGTTTCGAAATTCAGTGGTCATTAGGCGGGAGGGGGCCCGTTTGGGTAGGGAGTCACCTGGGGTTCCGGTGGCCTTAACGCCAACAGGGACCAAAGGGAATGGCACGTTAACACAACTACGATGTCCCTAAGACGGACGACAGCTCCCTTGTTTTATTGCATCGCTCAGAGCACGTTCAGATACGTGGCCTCATTTTAAATGATGTGTTTTATGGGGTCGCTGACAAGCTAGAGAGAGTCTTGAGGAGAGGGGGACAGCTTGTTAAGTGACAAATAGGCGACCTCACTCAGTGTGTGCAGCTTTGCGTAGCTAAGGCGCCGGGGCTGGCGAGAGCCACCCTCGAGGGTGCAGACCGTGGACGGGGCAGAGGGACAGACCGGGGTGCGGGGAGAGTAGGACGGTGTCTGACCAGGGCGCAGCCCGGCTGCCCTTGTGGGACGAGAGCCCTCTTGCTGTTAACGTGTGCCCGCGGCTGGCGGGAGACAGACCGGGTGGGGGGCCCCCGCTTCCCAGAGCACGCGGAACGGTCACTGCTCGACGGGACACCAAACTCAGGAGGAGCTCCGTGGCCGGGTCTTCATCCTGGTGCGGCCGGAGGCTCCTTCGGTCGCTGTCCCTGCTGTGCTGGTGGCCTTTAGAGCTCATGCAGGGGACAGGACCCCACAGCCAGAAAGAGTTCATCGTCTCTGCCCTTGGGGGCCCCTCGGTGCCCCGGGCCTCCGGGACGGGCCTCCGGGACGGGCCTCCGGGACGGGCCTCCACTCTCAAGGCCTCTGTCACCGGCCCCCGCGCCCACCCGGGGCGCTCCGGCCTCCGCGGCTCCGGCCCGGGGCGGCTCGGACCTCCCCTCCTGCGTGCGGCCTGTCCGGCTCGTTCCCGCGGCCCCTGGGCCGTCTCCGCGGAGACCTCTGCCGTGGCCTTGGTTCTGCTCTCGGGGACTCATGGAATCAGTCCGTCTCCCGGCGCGGGGCAGCCGTTGGAGCCGGGGCAGACCCGCGCCCTCCGCGCGCCTTCTCCGTCCCCCACCCTGCCAGCCGCCCCCAGAAGGGGCTGCCGGCCCTGCCCGTGAAGACGCCGCAATCTCTTTAGAATGTACCACCCAGAGGGGGCTGAAATCTTCCATATGTGGCCTGAACGGGCACGTGGGATTATTCCTCCTTGTCATCCGTTGATGGGGTCTATGATTCCAGGAGCTTCTGGACCCGTAAGTGGGGGCAGGAACTTGGTGGCTCCTGAACGGTCCATGTTGCGCTGGGCAGTGATCTACCCATCTCAACCGCACATTTGTTTTTAAACATCAGGGGCTGTCTGAGAATGTCTTGGCCAGCAGTTTTCAAAAACTTTTTATATTTTTAAATAAAAGTTTACACTTACAGAGAAATTCCAAAGTAAGACAGAAGCTCCCATGTCCCCTCCCCCGGCCCCCTCCCCCCCAGTTACCATTTCACACATACACGCACATTTTGATGCCTGTCCCATGTAAACTACAAAACCACCGTTAGTACAGCGCTAGTCACCGAGTGATCGGCTTTGCTCGATTTCAAGAGACTTCCCACTGGTGCCTTTGTCCGTTCCAGCATCCGAGCTAGGACTCCATGTTGCATTTTGTTTGATGTTACGTTTATGTTAAATTGCCTTTCTCCCCTTTCATTTTTGAAACCATTGGGCACGTCCAGACAGAATTTCATTTTTTGCCCCTCCCTCTGCCAATGTCTTTTATGCTTTATTTCCTTTTAGCGTTTTCCACCGTGGGATCGAACTGTTCTCTGCTCGTTTGCTTGGGGGTTTGTTTATTTGCCGTTTGGGGGGTTTCTCCCCTAAAGAAGAGGATGCGTGTTAGGTCGTGCCCAGAATTTATTCCTTGCCCATTTCCATCCCTAAGGCTTGAACCGTTCGTTACACCCTCGAGGCGTACCAGCCGCTCCTTGGTCACGCCCAGGTCCGGGAGCAGCTGGCTCCTCATCCCTTCTCTTGTCTTCTGAGACGGGCTCTTCCGGAAGCTCCGCTGCCGTAGAAGGAACTTCCCGGAGGAAGGCCCCGCCATGAGGGCTGCTTTCTGCAGAGGAGGCTTTTTCTGGTGGTAGAACTACAGCGATCCGGGCCTCTGTTTATTGGGGAGGTAGCCTGGGTGCCTGGAGCCGCTCTGTCCTCAGGGTCTGTGGGCATCTGGCGCTAGCGCAGGGCCCGGCACGCAGGGGGCGCTCAGTCATGTGTGCTGTTTGTCCCTTTCTGTTAGCCTCTGGGGCCCGCAGCACCGGGGCCCCAGCGTGCAGTGGGGGCCTTCTGCCTGGGGCTGGAATGGAGGTCCCCACCCCTGGCCTGCCGCGGAGGTGGTCAGCCCTCTGTCCACCCGGCTCTCTTTAGGGCACGTGAGATGGCGGCTTTGGAAGGTCCGGTGGCTCCCCTGTCGCTGTCATTGTGAAATACCTCCTTCTCCCTCTCCTCCGAGTCGGCCTCATCACCCCTGGCATTTAGACACTGGTTTTCATTTTCTTCCGCGACCTTGGAGCTGAGCTTTTTAAAAATCCTTTACAGAAGTATTTCCCTCAGCCTATCGGGGGGGGGCTCCTCTCCTCCTCCAGCCAATCAGAAGAGAGAGGCCGCAGTGGCCGCACGCGTCCTGCCGACGCCCGCTGCCCGGCGGGATTGTCTTGTCAGTTCCTGGTCATGAATTTTTAAAACGCAAGACAGAAAAGGCCACGTCAGCAGGAGGTGTGGGGGTCTCGCCTGCGCGTGGCGGCGCCCAGGGCCCGGGGTCTCCCGTTCGGCAGGTCGGAGCTGGGGTCTCCTCCTTCGCTCGCCAGCCGCGACCTGGGGAAGCCGACGTCCCTGCTCCAGGACCCCGCTCCCTGAGGGGTGAAAAGCAGGTGACGT